ATCTGACTCGTAGAGCATCATCATCATCATTTCATACATCAGGCAATATTAATGCTAATGCTAATGCTGGCAATAGTCTTCTTTCGATACCAATTGCAACAGTACCAGCTGCTTCAGAAAAATTTCGTGTTCAATTAAATGTAGCTGGTTTCAATCCGGATACAATCAAAACACGTGTTGAAGATCGAAGAGTTATTGTCGAAGGTAAACATGAAGAACGACAAGCTAATGGAGATTTTAGTGTTCGAGAAATTCGAAAATCATATGATCTTCCTGAACATGCTGGTAAGTAAAATATTATCTGATAAATAAATATAAAAATATATGTTGTTTGAATAGATTCTGCGAATTTGGCCTCATTTGTTACACCAAATAATATGCTTGTCGTAGAGGTGCCTATCAATGCTCCACAATTGCAACGTCGTGCATCTCAAACAATTGCTGATAGTCAAGCACTTTCTTTATTTGGTCAATTTCGTGATCCAATTTTTGATTATCCAGGTTTTATTGCTTCAGCAGATTTTCGTCCTCGTCTTATTGATATAGGTAATGGACAGAAAAGTATTAAAATGGCATTGGCTGTTAAAAATTATCAACCTGAACAAATCAGAGTTTCTGTTAAAAATAATCAATTACTTGTACAAGCTGAGCATAATTATAATGATAATAATCGTTCGGAAAGATCATTCTTAACTAAATCAATTTCATTACCACCCGGTACACAAGTTGATCAATTAAAATCATTTCTAAATGGTGAAGGACAATTAGAAATCGAAGCACCTTTTATTGAACCTACACAAATGCGTTCAATTGAAGTTCAACATTAAAGAAAACAATAACAGACAAATCTCTTTTTTTTTTGTATTTTTTTTCATTTTTTTTCTAATGAATAAAGTCGAGATACTTTAAACCTGCAAATCCTGCATATAACTATTTGTACTACTATCCTTTAAAGAAAAGCACTTTTACAGAATAATATTTTTTTATTCTTCTTTCATCGATTCTTCTCTTGTGAATGTACAATGTTAGAAAGGACTTTCGAGGAAACACCTTCTGAGTCAAGATATATACTATTTACTGTTAACAGTCATAAATACGTATATACTTACTATTTCTCAGTTCAATCAGTCTAAATAATCTAAAACACATAAAAATAAAATAATCCTCGACTTTTATATTATGTTTTAAAGGGCAACTTTGCGATGAAGTACACTATGAACGTTTGTCTGAATGCATCAATTTAAACAGCGGAATGTAGATGTTTTCAATGAAAACTCATGATTTAAAGCAAGAGCTACTATATCATAGTATGCCTAATGTGAATATGCCAACCTCAAGGCTGTACCAAAAACATGTTCAACCTTTTATTTTTGTTTATTAGTGAAATAAAGGAAATAAGAAAGAGCCAGATGAATTGAGAAGAGAAAAAGTTAGGAATAGTTTTCTTCTTAATTTAATTTAATTTTTTGGAATTACATGAAATATTTTTTTCAGACTACAGAAAGACTATTTTACCTTTTTTAATCTGTCGCCTGTATCTTTTCATTTGCTTCTAATTAATAATAAAGCACTAGTTGATTGATGCAATCAGATTATACCTTGACAATATATATATATCATACCTTTTTTTAACTTCTTCGTCATCATACGAGGCGTTATTCAAGAATATTATAATAATTAACTTAATTTTAAGGATCAAAAGAAGTTATCTAAGTAGTACAAATATTCTAATAATATAAATCATAGATTTCCATCAAAATGTTGTTGTGAATAGTATAGAACATGAGAGTATTTATAAAAATGAGAAGAGGAAAGAAAATAACCAATTCATGTCTGTAAGGTAAGATATAAGTTGTAGAAAAAGGATGATCTCATGTCTCGTTTTTTCGTTTGAAAATAACATTTTCAATACGATCGAGGAGTATAGCAAATGAATATCTTATTTATTCACTGATATCCTTTTTATGTAAACGAATGATTACACATTTAGTATAATGACTGTTCATTTCGATAAGCTTTATTCAACATTCGCTAGGAGCTCCTAGAGAAGAGACCGCTCTTAGCAACATATGTGGCCAACAAGCGAATATTAATAAGACTCATTGTTATGTTTTATTCAAAAAGTACATTATATATATATTACATGATGTAGCTTGCATATTTTTACAATTAGTAGGAAGCAACTTATTATACAGATGCATATTTTGTTTTCAAAATCGATAGAATTATAAGTGATTATACATTGATTTTTCAAAAATAATAACTGTTTGATAAACGATTGTATGTTTTTCTTATTTCATCAATTAATCCGTTGTATATTGTTGCTCACAAAACCGTACATGTAGAAGTACTATTTTAATATGAAACTCGTAATGTACAAAATAATTGAGCGTGCAAGGTTAGTTTTAGTAGCATTTACAAGTTTTATAATAATTTGTATTTTCACTCGATTTATACCATAAATATCAATGTTTTGATTTATCATAATATATTCGTATCCAAACAAAAGAATATTTCATACTACATCTCATCAAGGCAAAAAAATGTGTTACAATCAGAACAGGAAGTTTTTATTCTTTTTTTTTGTTCGCTATTTTTATTGTAACAGCCAGCATAGCTGTTATGTGCCCTGTGCATGATACATTATCTTCTCTCTCTCATGCTTGTTTATTTTCATCTACACTCCTTTCACTTGTACTTTTTGCTCTACTTCCATATTTTGTTGTTCTGAGTCAGAGAAAATGTACTGGAATGCATGAGAGAAGGCGTTGGCAGCGATAGATATATATTATTTTGTTATGTGTGTTTGGTGTGTCATCGTTCTTTTTATATGGATAAGCGTTCGGTTATCGAGTAAACTAACATCTTGCAACAGTATCTTCAAACTTTGCGTGCAGATCCTTCCATTTCTCGAATGGCGTACCAAGTAGTAAAGATCGTATAAGACTTTTACGAAACTGTAGCATGCTTATATGACTGAAGCTATTTCATTTCGAACTTGTAAATTTCCTTCATCAGCAGTAACTTCTTCTTTGGAGTTTGATGATTTAGATCGCATTCTAGCAAAATCATCATCAAAAGAACGAACATCATTCTGTGTGTTCCTGTTATTTTCTGTGTTGGTTTCTTTAGACGATATGTAAATCAAATCAAAACTATAGTTGTTTCCATATAACTGTGAGGAAAGAATGCAAAAGAAAAAAAATCGAAATTCGTTTCGTTATCTCGTTCCTACTGCGTCATATATAGAAGAAAAAGAAAAACAAACGTCCATAATTATTCAGTTCTACATGAAAGAGAATCGTACACATAATGATACAATAAGAAAAAGAGAAGGATGTTTGTTTGCACTCGAATGATGAGCGCACAGAAAAATGAATTTTTGAAAGCTACTTCCTAGAAAAATCGAATCGATTCGAAAGGGTTAGTATTATTTAATTAATCCGATTTATAATATGATTTATTGTTTGATGATATAATATTGTAGATAAAATGATTCAAATGTCGAGCGATAAATCGGAAAAGGGAGAGAAATCAAACAAAAATCGTGGTGGAAAAAAGCGGAACCTTTCTATGATTTGTTTGACATTTCTTTGTGCTTACACATCATTTAATGCAGTTGCTAATTTACAATCAAGTATCAACATCGATAAAAATGTTGGATTATATTCTTTAGCAATACTTTCTGGTGGCTCAATATTGTCTAGTATTCTTTTTACTACTCCATTGATCTATATTTTGGGTTATAAATGGACGATTGTAGCTGGACAAATCGGTATACTTATATATATTGCTGCTAATATGTATCCAAAAGCGATACTTTTATATCCGGGTAAATACGTTTCAAATCGATTTATACTTAGAAATGTTTGTATCTAGTGGCAGCAATCAGTGGTATATTTTGTTCAGCAATGTGGACAACACAAAGCGCTTATATTACTGTACTTGGTGTTGATGAGAATCGACATGATAATTCTGATATTCAAGTGAACAAATATTTTGGAATTTTCTATTCAGTATTTGAAACTGGTAATATTTTTGTATAGATTTATGATAAAATATTTCTTTATCGAATTATTTTATATTAGCTCAAATTTGGGGCAATTTAATAACGTATTTTATCTTACGAAATGTTCGTAAAGAGTCAAGATCCAATTTTTCACAATGCGGAGCAAATTTTGTATCAAATACAAGTGAAATAAAAAATGATGAAAGTACTATTTCACCTATGACAGTATATAGAAATAAAATACGAGTGCATAAATATTAATAAACTCTATTTTGTATAGACTTATATTTTGTATAGTGTGTTTGTTGGTATTATTTGTATATCCATCGTATTCGTTATTATTTTTCTTGATCAAAAACGTAAACTTAAAGGTAATTTCAGATATATATTGTATATTATTTGATTGTTTGTATCATTATAGGTGATGATTCGAAAGGAGTAATACATCAATCAATAGATTATTCATTATTAACATTGAAACAATTTAAAAAACTAGATCATTGGCTATTAATTCCAATAGTTTTTTGGATTAATTCATGGGAAGCGTTCATTTTTGGAATCTACACAAAGGTATTACATTGTTGATAATGAGAACTATTTTTCAATTGAGTTTTATGATAGAGTTTTATTACATGTACTATTGGTATTCAATATATTGGTATAAGAGACAATTTTGCTGATCAAAATAATCATGATTATTTATTTGTTAGGTCTCGTGATGGCTTCATATGGTATTACCGCTTCTATTGTCTGTATCATTGTTGGTTATGTTGCTAAAATAAAGTACAGTCGTCCAGTATGTTTGTTAAGTGCAACATCTGTGTCTATTATGATATTAATGATAATGCTTTTATGGAAACCGGTTCCTTCTCAAACATACATGCTGTACGTTCTTGCATGTACAGCAGATATTACAGCAGTAGTTGCCAAGCCACTTGTTTCAGGTTTGTTATCTTTTCTTAGAACATTAAATAGTCATTACAGAAATTAGAATGAATCAATTCTCAGATGCTGCATATCCGATCTGATTAACATTTTTGACGGTTATTAGCATCATCCTAGAGTATTATATACTTTTATTTGACACAATATTCAAAAGAAAAGAGATATAAAAACAAATTACACATAACTTTAGTTCTTCGACTAGTCAATCAATAGAATAAGTGGTTCCATCAGTAGAAACGAAAAATATAAATACAAAGATTTTCTTTTTAATTTAGCTTTATACAGTCATTTATTTGCCGATACAAAAGAAATGGTTTTTTCCATATTTTCAATGATTCAAAATCTTGGATGCATCGTTGTGTATTTCTATTCACCAGTACTAATTGTTCGAGTATCAATTATCCTACAAATTATTTATACAAGCATGGCAATGATATGTTATATAACTATCGAAACTCGACTAAATCGAAAATAAATTCATAATGAGGATGATGATGAATCATAATCAAAAGTACTACATCATTTAACACTCCGTTATAATGGTGAATATTGCAGAGAACTATTAATATGATTTCATTTTTGTTTTTGTCAACAAACTAAATTTTAAAATATATAAAAACTATTCTATTCTTTTCTCAGTGTATTATTATATTTTTTTTTATAAAACTAATTTGATCTCAACACGTCATGAGTATATAAAAACAACAGCAATACCTTCACCTGTGGTAAAGGTAAATATATTTCTTTGCCTACATATATGAATCTTAGTCAATGATTGTGCAATATCCATTCTTTTACTTTTCAACCTACAAACATTTTATTAAATAATAAAAGCTACAAAATGATGTTGCAACCTACTTCTGGTCGTAAAGGATTTGGTTTTGTTCAACATTCAACTGATCAAGAAGGTAAATTATCATTTAAAAATAATAGAAAAATTTCAATTCCTTCAATATTATATAAATACTTTAGTTATATCATCTGATCAACAAACTTCTAATAAAACCATAACAAACACATCTCAAGAAATCGATAATAAACAAGATGAAAAAAATGTTCAACAAACAACTAATACAAATAACACAAAACCAAATTAACTATTATTAACATATTTATTTCGTCATCCACATGTTTTTTCTTTTTTCTATCGTAATCACGCGTATATTATGAGAAAATAAATATTTACATATAAGATTCAGCGTTCTTTGACTATGAAAGTAAGTAAAATCGTCATATAGAGTATCTATAATAGATTCATTAGTATTTTATTCTTATAAATCTCATCGAGTTTAGCCACCGACAGAACTGTGTGTTTAATGCATGCTGTACAATTCATCTTATTGTTAAAATTTTGGTTTTATTAAATCGAAGCTATCAAAAATATAAGTAAAAATGATCAAAGAAATGAAGCAAAGTCAAAATAATTAATGGATAGTTTATATCTTGAACATATGCTCGTTGCTTTTGTTTAACTTTGAAATAATGACGCAATAAATGATTCATTTTTTATTTGAAAACAAATTAGACAAAGGTAAATACAAAAGAAAATAGGTTAATAATGAGATATAACATACACCAGAATAGATATATACTAAATAGAGTGGGTGGGTATGGGTGTACGTTTTAGAAAGAATATGTTTATGAAAAGTAGACGGGGTTGCTTAACAAATGATCTCACGTTACAATAGGACTTTATATCATCTTAAAAGTACTTATATGACTATAAACTCTTGTAGTTTTATTTAGCAACTCACATCCCACACCATCAAGACACGAAGCCTAGGAATTTTATTCATACAGTTGTATTTCTCATATAAAATAATTTGCATGACTGAATTTCGATCTACTAGAGTACGTTTTATTCTAGACAAAAGTCAGTTAATGGAGAGATACTGCTTGGAGTTGGTGTGTTGTTGCCAAGCAGAAATTTTCTCCAACTGGCATGACATGATTTCTTTCTGGATTTCCACATTTCAACACCTTCTTTAAGGCATACGAAACTTGTTGTCTGTATTGTTTCGAACCGATATAATAGCAATAAAAGGAGCCCTAAAGAACAAATCTTATACTCTGTTGTATGGCATAGGATAAGCAAATCTTACCACATAAAGGCCAGCTAGAAAAACATTAAAGAAAAGTTGAGCAAATTGTTCTTGTGCTTGATAATAAGCGTCCTTGTAAAAATTAGCTCTAGCAAGAAAATAAGCATTTGTTATGCTAAAGGGAGTTGTAAAGACTAGGACATTAATTATTTGTAATAGAGCCATGAGTGTCATTTGTCTTGTTAATCTCGACACAGAACGTTGTCTATTTTGCCAGTGTTGCCTGTGCAAATGACGATAAGAGAAATAGCCAAATATGGAAACTATACTAACAGGAATGACTGTGAAGTATCCAAAGGTTATGACGTAGGTACGATATTGAGTATATGCAATATTTGTCGCGACACATTTTAAGTTGATTAGGTCTTGAAGAAAGAAATAAGGCAACTCATGTCCTATCCAAAGGAAAAGAAATCCGATAATTAAGATGCGAGCTGTTCGTATATTGCTCTTCTGTCGCCAATAGACAGAGTTCGATGTAGCCAAGAATGTATCAATTGAGTGAAGACAGAGACATGTGTAAGAACCAAATGCATTGATATAGATGAGAGGAATTCGAGCTTTGCACCATACAAAATTTGTCGATATAGAGGTAATGCTAAGTCCACGAGTAAGAATCAACGTGAAAAGACTCATGAAGAGAGCAGCTAAATCGAAAAAAGATTTGGCGAGAATGTAAAGTGAACTTGCATTGTGTCTGTAGTTTCCCAATGTAATGAGTGTAAGAATATTGAGAAGATTTCCTACAAGTCCACAGGAGAGTATGAGAAAACCAAATGTTGTATTAAAATATTGCGAGATACGCTGAAGTTGAGCGATATCTGATGCTAGGACCGCATTCAAAGACATAATTAAAAACTGATGTTAGAATAGATCTCTTCTTCTTGTCAAACGTACACACGCATAAAAGAAAAGAAGGATCTAAATGCTCATATTTAATTAAGTTTATGAATGAGAGAGAGAGAGAAAGAAGAAATTCAAATAAAATTCTTGCATAAGCCTTCAGGTTTAGAAACATAAGATAATGTGTGCAAATGAAGTTCATTCTTTAGAGAAGAAGAAGTAATATCATAGAAAAATTTTCACTTCATATATAAAAGTGTCGTAAAACTCAATCTTTCTATTCACTTGTGTGCATGTTAACAACTCACTCTTTGTGAAAGACAAATGTATAAATATCATTTAACAGATATTGCGATGGCGAGATAAATCTGTACAATATTAATGCTGTTAATAGCCCGATTCAATAGCCGAAAGGCACTTTTGGATGATAACAGACATTTGCTCACTAAGCTTTATGTATTAGTAGTGAATTACCAGATTCTACTGCTTCATCAGCATACATATAAAGATCCAAACGTTAATAAATAGAAGGAAGCTCAACTGTCGTAAGGCCAAGAAGTTCATTTTAATACCAGAAGCAAGCTAAAGGGATATGATGTCGTTGCTGCTCTTGATTTAGCAAGTATATTAAGTTTCGAGGACATTTAGACGGCTCACGGCAAAAGAAAATTAAAAGAATACTTTTCAGTTTTTGCACTTGCCGATAATATTATTGATAAGTGCAATGAGTTTAAAAGAAAGAACGATGGTTTAACATTGAACATATTTATAGTTTTATTAATAATATTATAAAATAAATAACAGAATCAAAAATGATAGTTTTTATTATTTATATTAAAACTCTGTGCAGTATTGAGCAATACAATATGAGTTATTTATTATTTTAGTCACTATTCACTTGAATATCATAGTCTTCAATATAAAGTGTCGAATTATTGATTAAGAATACAAGTAATAGAGTAAATAACATTGTACGAGTATTGTTTCGTATTTTTCTTTTCTCACTTTTGAATTTATAATTCGATAGCTGAAAATAGTTGGGTATAAATGTGCGGTGATTGGAAGATACTTATAATATTCACACCACCTATATTTTTTCAGTGAGTTTATACTGATAATAAATGTCATTTGAATGATGCACGATTTCTGTCATACTCGTACAACTTTACTTTCATTATATGAACTACTCCATAACTATTCATAGTATACAGACAAAACTTAGAAAAGATATTCCAATGTTACTAGATTTAAGATTGAATTTATTCTTTTTCTTTTTTATTAACACGATGTTTACAGCATGTGTAGTCTTCAATAACTGAACGAGCATTCTTTTTTTGAGGGTGGGAGTGTGGCCGTGGGTGTAGATGTGGGTGCTAGATGAATACAGTATTCATACCCACACCCACACCCACCCGTTTTTTTATAAAATGAGATATCTCGAACATTTCGACTTCTTTCGAGTATTTTAATCGTCTTCAGCTTTGGTTTCTGAGACTACTCATTTTTGCGACATGATATGGATCAGTACCAAGAACCGGATGCGAAATAGTAAACGAGTCTGGTCGGTAAACTGATCGATTTAAATTTCAAGTTGTACCGAAAAAATTTCGGTAAAACAGACAAAAAACAGCGCAAAAGTCTCGGATTCTTTTGAAAAACAATTTTTAGAGAAATATGGACTCATAAATGAGATACATCCGTGGGCAAAAAGTCTTTCTTCCCTCTTTATTTCTGTGTTATCATACTTTGTATAGAATTTATTGCCAAGTAGAGGTATGACTTGAGAGCTTTATTATATTGTGATCTGTATACCATACTGAAATAAAAATCTCAATTTATATCTTTACTAGGCAATAAATTTTATGTAAAGTATGATAGCGAAGAAACGAAGAAGAGAAAGGCTTTTGTGTGAGGGCGTAGTTTCAGAGAGCATGTATAGGACATCCAAAAAAACCATCTTTTTAAGTAAACCTTACAAGATATAATTCAATAGCTTGTGTTTTGTCTCTTTTTTTTACCAACTCTACCAGAAACTTATGCGATATCTTAGTTTTTTATGGCTAGAAACAGGATCGATAAAGAAGACTTTTGAAAAATTTCAACCCGTAAAATTTCGATCTCTAGAACAGTTATTCTATTCCGTAATGTCCAACATTGTGGAATAGGATGTATTCTCGAGTGAAAAGCTTTGCTTTTTCACAAATAAAGCACGTAACACTGTCGTATTTCCCTTCTGGTTTCGAGAGAAAATTTCCTGATTTTTCTCCTGATTTTGTAAGAAAAGTCTCCTGATCTATTCCTGTTTTTTAACGAAAAACCCCTGATTTCTAAAGTTTGGATTTAGCAACCCTGAATAAGAATCATGCAATACATAATATAATATATATATATATATTTATATTAATTATATGTTCATTTAGAAAAGCGAAATAATTCCAACTTAATAATGACTGATAATCAACCATTGATTCGTATTAAACTTGATGATGTGAAAAAAACACGTCTACCATTACCACAGCCAACTACGACAGTTGCTCAATTTCGTGAAGAACTTGTTAAAGTTGATCGCATATCCACTAATTTTTATTTTTTGGATGCAGATGATTATACGATAAACCCTGAGCAAGAAAAATCAACTTTACTTAGGGAATTATTGGATGAACAAAATGTAGTTCGATTAAAATCGAAGGAAAATATTCAAGTTCCTAACAAAAAACCAAATTCTGCTCGAGAACGAACTGATTTAAATTATTTATCAGCAAATACACAGTCAATAACAACTTCTTTTCAACAACCAATCATACCCGGTTCGATTCCAGTTCATTCAACAGTTCAACCAATTTTAGCTAATTCACTTGATCTTGATGATTGGAAAAGAGTATTTGATACTTGTGGTTTACTTTGTGGTATTCGAATGGATGAAAAAGAACCTATTCGTGCTATGCAACCTTTTTTAAAATTTAAAGAATTAAATAATCCTATGCCATTAATTCAAGTTTATGATAATTCTTATATTTGTTCATATATGAGAAATAAAAGAATGGCAAGTTCTTTTGTATCAAATAATTATTTTGATGGAAGTCTTGAGTTTTCTTCTCCTTTGTTGGGTATTGGAATTGATATGACATATTCAAAAAAGAATTCAACGACAAGTGAACAACGAACCATATATTCAACATGTGTTTTTAATTATCCACGTGTACTTATAGAATTGAATTTAACATATCTTGAAGCAACTCAATCATTTATTGATGATATTAATTATGTTTTACAAAATACACCCACAAAAAATGATTTAGGGAAAGTTTTTTCAAGATATGGTCATGTTTATCCCCAACGAGTTGTTCTTGGTGGTCATTTATTTCATACAGAAGATCATTTAATTAAAGGTGATGTTATTGAAGAAGAAATACGAAGAAATGTGGAAGGTCGTTTTAGATCGGATTTTTTTAAACAATTTGAAATTCATGCGAATAGTGATTCTTCAAATAGATCAAGACAAGAAACAAATGAACAGAGATCATCAATTACTTTTCAAGCTGTTGGTGGTCATACCTTACTGGTTCATAATCCAACAGCATGGGAACAAACTGTAACAGATCCAAAGCTTTGGCGTATTATTCAACAAGATGATTATAAACCAGTTACTGATTTACTCAATGGACAACAACGACGAGCTATTGCAGGTTAGTTTTATTTATGACAAAGATTATTTTCACACTAAAATTTAATAATCTGTTATCAAAGTTCCTTGAACATTTTCTATACAAAGCAAACATATCACGAAGTTAGCTTATAAAACTGATAACTGTTATTTTACGATTATCTGTGTTAATTCAAAAACTTTTATCCTTCTTCATTACTTTTTAGACGTGGAATACGAGCAAACGGCGTTCCCACCGAAAGAATTGCTAGTGCCACCGCACCTCACGCTCCGCGCGTTATCTGACAATAAGGAAATATTCTACGCCCGACGCTATCTCCAGCCGGGGTCGGAGTAATTGGACGAAGCCGAAGCTGGAACACGAAGAAGACTAATAAACTGATTGGCTGTTCTATTTCATATATCTTACACATTTCCAGCCGCGCCGCCCCTGGAAATAAGTCTATCGAGGCAGGCCATAGAGTTACTCCATCTCTAATATCTCGTACTTTCTCTACCTACGTCTCTTCTGAATATGATTCGAGGTGATTGTACTACCTTAGTGTTCTTAATCATTTTTCTCCCTCTTTTTCTCTCTCGTTCGTTAACTACCTAGGTGAGCGTACTACGTTGCATTCATGTCTCTCTCTTCTCTCTCTATGTGTTTTATCTTTTTAAATATATTTTTATTTCCTTGTCATTTATTAAACAAGGATACTGAAAAAAAGAACAACAAGAAAAAATTGTAATTCTATATATATTTATTTATTCATTCAATGATATGAATTGTTTTTTTTTCGGAAGTAGGCTGTGGATTTGGGTGAGGCTTGAAGGAGAATAGACACTCACGCCCTATAATTATTTTTTTCTAATTTTCTCTTACTTTTACCTGCGCAATTACTCCAATGTACGTGCAGCACTGTTATGAAAATTATATAGAAAAAGCAATATAATCTATTCCATGAATGTAGCTTTTCTTCGTCATACGTCGTTTTGTCATTAAATGGTCGCAAGGAATTTATTAAAACAAAAGGACTGTATGAATGAACATGAAATAGCTATTGTTTTAAGAAAACTGTATGGACTTGAGTGTTTTCTGTTGTGAAAACGAAAGTATTTCGTACAAAATTATTTAGAAAAGTTGTTAGACCTAAAGATGTTTCAAAACCTTTTCACAAATCATAATGTGATACATTATCTATGAAATTTACTAATTCAAGTTTTATCATGGAAGCATATAATACTACGTTTGTACGAAAAAGAAAATATCGCATATTCATAATGGTAAAAATGGCCAATTATAAACATATTATCATGTATAACCGATTTTATCGTATTGTTGATAGAAGTTAAAAAATAAGCTTATGTACAAGAGAGACATGATCAGTAGCTTATTGATTTGTCAATAGGACGATGTAATTTGAACAAGAGCAAATATTTTTTGTAAGATGTTCCAATGAAAGTTTGTTTTGCTATTAAAGCGACTAATTTCTGAAATGATTTCTTTATCAAATCATCTGCTATTTATTCTTTTGTATACCAGTATAACTATTCCAACACAACATTGATGATCTGGTTGTGATAGACAACGCATATATATATATATGGTAGTAGAGATCATCTAAAGGGAATGAAAGCGATATCGAAAAGAATGAGTTTGGACAAAAAGATCATAAAAAAATTATACTGACGTCTTGAAAGTCTTGAATTGGTATGCCTGTCAAAATACTCTAATGCCAGGAAAACTATATTAAAAACAAAACTTATACAAAGCTTCTACACCATCCGTTCCTATTTGACGAATATTGATTTTAGTTCATATAAAAGAAGAAATTAAATAAATATGGCAAAAATTCTACAACAGTATACATGTATGGACTACTAAACTAACGTTCATGATAAATCATATTATATGAAAACCTATAAAGAAAAATGCTATGAGCCGTATTTCGATAGAATAGGGTGTACTACACAAGTATTCTATGTAAGTCACAGATAATGTCTTTTCGACCAAAGCTAAAAATAAAAGACCATTATTATGAATAGTCATATAACTTCTTTTGATTTGTTGAGGATCTACAATTACTTATTCTACGATGAATCATTTTACATCTTTTTGATTTCATATAAAAATGTAAACATAAATAACAGGAAATATTGATAATGAAAGAAACAAACATTAATGTAATTTTACTATTGTTGCCATCCTATTTTCACCAGTCTATGTATGATCACTAATCAGAATGAAGCCAGAGAATGTGCAAATGAACGAATTCGGAAAAAAGGGAACTCTCTTAGATTGCCTATCTTCAAAATCATATATTAGATGGTACTAGAACACCCACACCCACTCTCTAAATACGAATGAATTGTGCTATGATTGTAACATCGTATAGTTTACATATAAATGTTCGATTTTCTCTCGATACTTTGACAATAAAATTGAAACAACATTTGAAAATAATTACTGACGAACAATGTCATACTAAACTTTTTCAAATGA